CGATCATCCTCGTCTATACTTGTTTCAAAATCATGTGACATGTACGTATTGCTATACTCATGGCTAACATTGGGCAAATGGGTTATGGGCCAACCCGCGGGCTAGCATACACAGGCTAACATTTTTGTAGGTTGGGTTGGACCAGCCCACCAGATAAAATGAACTAAAAAGCCTAACCCAACTTATTTTTTAGTGGGCTAGCCAACCCACAGGCTAGCCCACAAAAATTTATGAAATTTTTTTCAATAATTCAAAATTTATATAATATATATATATATATATATATTTCACATTTTAAAGCAAATTAGAAATTAAAGAACTTGTAAATAAATAAAATAAATATAGAATTCAACCACGCAAATTCATTTTACTAGATTTTTACTATTAATTATATTCTCATCTAGTTGTGTTATCTTTCTCAATAAGAAAGAAAATTTAAATATAAACCCATATTATCTTTCTCATCTAGTTGAATTTATATTTATGATTTTAATTAATAAATCTTATAAGATTAATAAATAACATATCTTTAAAATTTTTCTGTAAAAACTAATAAATCATCTATTTTCAAACTATAATAAAAATTTTATTTGCTACTTGTAAAAAAAATTACATTATATTTCAAATGTAGAGAACATATTTGTGAGTCATAAATTATATATTTGAAAAATATTATCATTATTATAGATTTATAAAAAAATATAATGTGATTAAAAAATAAAAAATTATTTTTAAAAAAATATGCTAGCCCGCAGGCTAGCCCCTTTAGCCCGAGGGCTAGCCCATTTTAGCCAGCTAGTTTTATGGGTTGGGCTACCCAGCCTATTTTAAAAAAATAGGTCAATTTGTTCAACCCAACCTGTCAAATTTTACGGGTTGAACGAGCTAACCTGCGGGCTCAACCCACTTTCCCGTGTACCAAAAAAATTTAATCCTGGTTTATTAACCTAATGAGGGTAATTAGTGAGTTAATAAGGTGTGTGCCCAAAGGGGCTTAACTTAGTGTAATTGTAGTGATTTCAGCCCTAGAAGTGGTTTTGGATCGATGGTGGGCCATCCGAGTAAGGAAAGAGGAAGAAAAAGTGAAAAATTATTCTTTGTGCCATATGCCGTGGCGCATAGTCAGTTTGCCACAACGTATAAAGACAAATTTGAATAACAGGCTCCTCTCTGGAATATGCCATGGTCGAGGGCAACGAGCGCGGTGCACAAGAAAAAATTTTGATAAATTAAATCACATCTGTGCAAGAAAACAAAAGAGAGAAGAGGAAGAAAATGGAGAGAATGTTGGAGCTCTGCTAGGGCACGCTCATTGGCTCCCATTGTTGATATTTTGAAGCTCCCAAACACCTAAGGTAGGTAATCTAAGCCTCATTCTTCCTTTCCCTTCCTCATTTATGATGAGTTATGGTAGGATTTGAGTTAGAAGATGAATTTTTATCCATAAGACTATGGGTCCAATTTCATTAGTTAAAATGAGTATAATGGGAGTTGTTTAAGATATTAAAACACCACATTGATGATTTTGGAAGTGGTTGGTCCATGAAAGCATTTATTATCCGAAAATTGATATTTATGAGGTAGTTAGGAGAGGTTTATGTGCATTAATGATGGTTTGAAGTGCTGTTAATGATAATGTGCATTAATAAAATTTAATGAGCCTATTAGGTGTGAATGGGTAGTGATTATGAGTTGATAAAAATAGAGTGTATCAAGTTATATGTTGATAAAGCTTCAACAATTAGACAATGATGATATTCTTGTGGGATGGATGTAGTAATGTTCGTTTTGGGCACTATTTGAGCTTGTTGAAGCTTTGGAAAGTTGGTATAGTAAGGGATAAACCTTTAACCTCTCAAAAGTTTGAGGTAACTAAGGAAACTTAATCTTTATAGTTGAATGTTAATTGTGTTTGTGAAATATGAATTATGATTTAAATTAATGATACATATTGGCAAAGTGTTTGATTTGCAAAATGATTTTTGGAAAGAAACCCTTAATTCTGCCAACCTTTATGTTTTATAAAATTGATTGTAATTTGTTATTATGGGTGGAGAATTGTGATGCATTACCTGGATTGTGTAGAGAAATTAAATACAGTTATATGAGATTAATTTTCATGAATCAATTATTGAAATGCATAATATGTGATAAATGTGCATAGATTGATCATTAGCAGGAGTTTGCCTAGGGAGAGGAGTAGATTGATTTAAATCCACGTGGTACTGGAAGTGACCATTAGAATCGAGAACTAGCCTTAGCACCGACCATTGGAATCAAGAGATGGCCCTTGTCCCATAGTTGATTTAGAACTGTCCTACTTGTTCTATAAGGGACTCAAACCTAACTAGTCTCCACCAATTCATGAGGAGGCTAGATTAGGGGTACAACACCCTATGGTTGTTAGTATTAGGATAAACCAAATTACATAAGTAAGTGAGTTCACCTGGCTCAGTAGCTCCTCACAAGTGAAAGTCTGGGTTAGTCCGTGAAGGACGTAACCACGTGATAGCCACCGGTTTCGTGTTAGAGGTAACAAGAAGATATAAAGTTGGCATATGATCATGCATATAAGTCCAGCCACATGATTGTTAGTTTTATGGTCCGATATGTGTTGAGGGTGCATGGTTGTTATTTTTGCAACACTGTGTTATGTTTTGCAAAATAACATGATAAAATATTTTGTGGCAAGCCCGGTCATATGATTGTTAGTTTTGTGAATAGTGGCTGAGAGTTATGTGTTAATTGTGCATATTTTCCTAATTGCATCTATTTACAATTGATAAGCAACTGTATGGGTTAAGTGAAACTTGGTTATTGAGTAGTTGTACTCACCCGTCAATTCTCAATATTTTTAGGACCTAGCTCATCGAATAAGAGTCGGGGAAAATATACAGAGGCCTAGGATTGTGGAGTAATTCTCTATATGCCTCTCTTTTGTTCTTTCATATGTATTTGTTAATATAATTGCCAACTAGGATCATCTGACATGATTTATAAACTACTTGTATGATTTTGTGTATAACTAGTATATTGTGCATCCTAGGTTTGAGAATTTTGGTTGTACACCCATAGATAGGACTGAAATACTTGTGCAAGTAGAAACATATGTATTTTGAAAAATTTGAAATGAAATTGATGATTTTGTGCAATATTTCCTCCCTTTTTATGTTTTGTGAAATTTGGGATTGAGTAGTGATTTTGTGATATAAATGTTTTTGATTATGTGTGGTGTATTGCACAAGTCCGTTAGAGTTTATTGAGTGTGGTCGGATGGTTGATGTGAGTTATTGGCATGAGTGGTTAAGTTGGGACACCCATTTGTGAAATTTTGTGAAAAAGTGGTCGTAATGGATTTTGGTGTCCAACTTTTTATAGAAAATAAGTTTGAGTGTGAAAGCAGTGCCATTAGCTAGAGCTAGGAGAAAACTCCGTGTAAACACTAAAACTACCTCAATTGGACGTCGGATGGAGATTTGGGACGCATTGGAAGTTTGCTCCTTGTGCTATCAAATGACAGCACCAATGCTGTCAAATTTCATGCAATGTGTCACGACGCATGGTGCCTCATGCCGTGGCCCATGGAACAGAGAGGACAAGCTGTGGCCACATGCCGTAAGTCATGGCGTACATGGCATATTCTGCATAAAATTTATTTTTGAGCTTTAAAACTCATTATTTTGGGTCCTAATTGATTTTCAAGCTTTCGCTTTACTTTCAAAACTCTAATACGAACTTATTAAATAATGTTTGAGATTTGAATTGTTGAAATTGGGATTCCTTTAAAATAATTTTGAGAAATTCCTTTTATAAAACTTTACAATTTAGTAATCCTTGAGGTTTAAATCTTAGGTTGCCATGATTTGGAGTCAAATGTGGTTTAGTAAGGGAGACGTTACAATTTAGTCTCTAGAATCTTACAATTTGGTATCAATTTCTCTAGTTCTAAGAACTGGACTATAGATTTATAAATCAAGTGTGAGTTTGCTTGTAAATAATTCATTTGCATATAGAAAGTTGGCAATTAACATTATACACATGTTCTTTCCCCCTTTGAGTTAGTGTTAATTATTTTCCTTTTATGGGATAACTTCCATCCTTAGGAGGGGAGAATGGTGCAAACAAGAAATACGGCCAACAACATACCGGCAAATGTATCAGGATAAGTACGGGAAGTCTTGGTATAAGAGGAGAACATTGTCCCTAGTGAGTATGTTGAGATGGGACAAGGCTCGGGTCAAGTTAGAGAGCAACCGACACCTACAATGGGTAATGAGAATATATTGCTTGAGCTGAGAAGCTTGATGGAAAGAATTAAACAGAGAATAGATGAGCATGATGAGATTTTAAAGAAAAGACTGGAAGAGTCAAGTAAGACTATAGAAAAAGTTGGCGGTCGTGGTGGGGTGAGACTCGAGGGGGAAATACTTGATCAACAAAAGGAGGATTATTACGAAGAGAGTGGACTGAGGAGGCCTGAACCAGTGAGGCCTAGAGGAAGAAAGCAAGAGAGCTTTATTGATTTAGCCTTAAAGAAGTTCATAAGGTTGAATCCTCCATCATTTGAGGGTTTCATAGAGAATAGAGCGGCTGAGAAGTGGATAGATTAGTTGGAGATGATCTTTTCTATTTTTTCTTGCACATTTGAGTAGCGAGTATTACTTACTACATTCCTGCTTGAGGATGCTGTCAAGCAGTAGTGGGAAAGTGTGAAACTGGCAGATGGGTCTCTATTGACATGAAGTGAGTTCAAGAGGAGGTTCTTCTCCTATTATTTTCCTGCCTCCTTCAAAGCTGAGAAAGAGGCTGAGTTCCACCGTTTGCAGCAAAGAAACATGAACGAAGATGAATTTATAGCTAAGTTCAACGATTTGTCCAAATACTCGACATACTTGAGGAATCATGATAATGAGTATTAGAAGGCCGAGCACTTACTTGAGAAAATGCAGCCTGATTACAAATAGCAGTTGGCACCCTTTGACATTATCTCATATAGTGACATGTGCAATAAGCTGAGAGTAGTGGCCAGACGTGGTCGTGAGGCTGAGGACAGCCAGAGGAGAGATGGTAGGGGCTATTTCTCTACATATACAAGTCTTACTGGAGGTGTTGGTAAGAGAGCTGGATATAGCTCTGGACCATCTGGATTAGGCAGCAGTAGTAGTAAGAAGAGAAGCTTCCAGAGGGGTTCACATCTAGAGGTTCCCAGATGAGGAGTAACGCCTCCAGGAGTATGGGTGGGTGAAGTCAAGCTTCGAGACAAGATTCTGCTCCAATGATAGCTGGACCGCTTAGAGCCCCATAGTGCAGCAAGTATGGGAGACATCATACTGGGGAGTGCTGGACATGTTTTAAGTGTCACAAGGTTAGGCACATCACTTGGTCTTACCCAGAGAATACTCTTCACCCCGATCAGAGGTCTACCATTCCTAGTCATGTGTTTGCTATGACAAGGGAAGAGGCTGAAACTTCCCTGAAGCTTATCGGAGATATAATTTCTTTAAGCAATCAACAAATTTCTTCTTTGTTTGATTATGGTGTCACTCACTCGTTTGTTTCTGGTGAGTGTGCAAAAAGACTAAGTTTTCATGTTGTTGAAATGCCTTTCATAATGAATGTGTCTATATCGGCTAGTGCTTTAGTGAGAACCAGTCAGGCTTGCTTGAAAGTAGAGTTGAAATTTGGTGAAACAGTCGCAAGTATTGACTTGATTTGTTTGCCCATGTCGAGAATTGACATGATAATTGGCATGGATTGGTTGTCTGCTAATGAAGTGACATTAAACTGTAATAGAAAGACGGTTTCATTACCAGTGTATACGAAAACTACAATGAATAAAGAGATTACACTACCTGTACCTATTATTACTTCGGAGACTCCTAAGTTCCTATTAGCAGTACAAGTGGAGAAATCAGTGAAAGAGGAATGTCAAGCCTTTATGGTGTTTTGTTCAATACATAAAGTGTATGATGGAACATTAGACAAGATTGGAGTTGTTAATGAGTTTCCTAAGGTGTTTACAGATGAAGTGTCGGGATTGCCATCAGAAAGAGAGATTGAGTTCTCAATTGATTTGGTACCTAATACCAAGCCAATCTCTAAGGCTCCGTATTAGATGGCTCCAATAGAATTGAATGAGCTTAAGAAGAAGCTAGAGGAGTTATTGGAGAAGGGGTTGATTAGACCTAGTGTTTCACCTTAGGGTTTGCTTGTTCTGTTTGTCAAGAAGAAAGATGATAGCATGAGATTGTGTATAGACTATCGACAGCTGAACAAGGTGACAATTAAGAATAAGTATTCGTTACCCTGAATCAATGACTTGTTAGATCAGTTAGATGGAGTAGCAGTATTCTCTAAGATTGACTTGAGATCCGACTATCACCAGTTGAGAGTAAAAATGGGTGATATGTCAAAGACTGCTTTCAGAACAAGATATGGGCACTATGAGTTTCTTGTTGCACCCTTTAGACTAATAAATGCACCTGCAATCTTTATAGATTACATGAACTGAATCTTTAGGCCCTACTTGGACAAGTTCCTAGTGGTCTTCATTGATGATATATTAATATATTTGGTTGATAAGGAAGAACACGCTAAGCACCTACAAATTGTGTTGCAAATTCTAAAAGAGAAAGGCTAGATGCGAAGTTGAGCAAATGTGAATTTTGGTTGCATGACGTGAAGTTTTTAGGTCATGTAGTGTCGATAAATGGTATTGCAATTGATCTTCATAAGGTGGATGCGGTATTACAATGGGAAGGACTAAAATCTATAATAGAGATCTGAAGTTTCTTGGGTCTAGCAGGATATTATAGAAGGTTTATTCAAGGATTTTCTCAAATTGCATTTGCTTTGACCAAGTTGACTAAGAAAGATCAGCCTTTAATATAGACCAACAAGTATGAAGAGACTTTCCAAGAGTTAAAGTAGAGATTGACGACTGCACTTATGTTGACTATCTCATATTCAAAATGGCCATTTGTGGTGTATGCGAATGCTTTACTTAAGGGTCTTGGATGTGTTCTAATACAAGATGATAGAGTTATGGCATATGCTTTGAGACAGTTAAGACCACACGAGGAGAACTATCCTACCCATGATCTTGAGCTTGCGGCAGTGGTGTTTGCGCTTAAAATATGGAGACATTACTATATAGCGCACAATTTGAGGTATACAGTGACCACAAAAGTCTCAAGTATCTAGTTGATTAGAAAGAGTTGAATATGAGGCAGTGGAGATAGATGGAGTTCTTGAAGGACTACAATTTTGAGTTGAAGTACCATCTTGGCAAGGCTAATGTAATAGCTAATGCGTTGAGTCGAAAGACGCTACACGTAGCATTCTTGATTATGCAAGAGCACAAGATGGTAGAGGATTTCTCTAATGAGCACAAAAATGTTCCTAATTTCGCATTATACAACATGAATGTCACAGTAATTACAAGTGAGTTCTGAAAAGAGCTGAGAAAAGAATAATTAGAAGATGAGTACTTGTTAGAAATCAGGGAGAACATTGAGGAAAACCGAACGACGGCCTTTGGCTTCAGTGATGATGGTTTCATGTTTTATCATGACCATATGTCTATTCCTGATGATAAGGAGATTAAAGAGATTATTTTATCAAAAGCTCATAAGAGTAAGCTAACAATCCACCCTGGTGCTACTAAGATGTACCAAGATATGAAGAAGCAGTGGTGGTGGCATGGAATGAAGCGAGATGTGGCTAAGTTCATTTTTAGGTGTTTGACATGTAAGAAAGTCAAGATAGAACACTAGAAGCCACCGAGGTTGTTACAACCTTAGAAATCCCAATGTGGAAATGGGACAGTGTGTCTATGGACTTCATAATAGGATTGCCATGTACTCAGGCAAGTCATGATGCTATATAAGTAATCGTGGACAGATTGACTAAGTCAGCTCATTTTCTAGCCATTAGAGCATACTATACCTTAGAGAGATTTGTTAAGGTATATGTTCAAGAGATAGTACGACTGTATGGGGTACCAAAGAGATTGTGTCAAATCACGATCCAAGGTTCACATCAAACTTCTGGAGAGATCTACACCAGGCTATGGGTACTAAGTTAAAGTTAATAGGGCCTATCACCCATAAACCAATGGTCAGACTGAGAAGACGATTCAAACTCTTGAGGATATGTTGCAAGCGTGTGCTATTGAGTTTAATGGAAGTTGGGATAAACACTTACCACTCGCGGAGTTTGCCTATAATAACAGCTTTCATGCAAGTATTCAAATGGTTCCATATGAAGCTTTGTATGGTTGGAAGTGTCGATTGCCTCTTTGCTGGACTGAGTTAAGTAAAAGGAGTATTTTGGGTTCAGATTTGGTGGATCAGACCACAGAGAAGGTAGAGGTAATTCGACAGAAGTTGTTGACGGCCCAAAGTCGGCAAAAGAGTTATACGGATAAGAGAAGGAGACTGCTAGAGTTTATATTTAAAGACCATGTATTTTTAAAGGTATCACCTATGACTAGTATTGGGAGGTCTATTCAAGCCAAGAAGTTGACTCCCAGATATATTGGTCCTTTTGAGATTCTAGAGAGAATTAGGCCTTTAGCATACGGATTGCATTACCTCTACATTTATCCGGTGTACATAACGTGTTTCATGTTTCATAACTTAAGAAGTACCAACCTGATCCGTCTCATATTATTGAACCAGAAGAAGAGAGTTATGGGAGAATTTAGCCTATCAGACTAAGCTTGAAAAGATAGCTGATGTGAAAGATAAGCAGCTAAGAAACAAAATTATTTGCTTAGTGAAAGTGATGTGGAAGGGAATGACTCCCGAAGATACCACTTAGAAAACAGAGGAGAAAATAAGGCAACAGTATCCCCATCTTTTCTAGTGAAGTAAGATTTACGTGATTAATTGAATTTTGGGTACAAAATTGTTAAAAGGAGGGGAGAGTTGTAACATCCAGGAAAATTTAATCTTAGTTTATTAACCTAATAAGGGTAATTAGTGAGTTAATAAGGTGTGTAGCCAGAGGGGCTTAACTCGGTGTAATTGTAGTGATTTCAGCCCTAGAAGTGGTTTTGGATCAATGGCGGGCCATCCAAGTAAGGAAAGAGGAAGAAAAAGTGAAGAATTATTCTCTATGCCACACGTCGCGACGCGTGGTCAGTCCACCACACCGCACAGAGACAAATTTGAATAACGGGCTCTTCTGTGCCATGCGCCGCGGTGGAGGGCAGCGTGCACCGCAGCGCACGAGCAAAACTTTTGTTAAATCAAATCACGTCTATGCAAGAAAACAGAAGAGAGAAGAGGAAGAAAATGAAGAGAACATTGGAGCTCTGCTAGGGCATGCTCATTAGCTCCCTTTGTTGATGTTTTGAAGCTCCCAAACACCCAAGGTAGGTAATCTAAGCCTCATTCTTCCTTTCTCTCCCTCATTTATGATGAGTTATGGTAGGGTTTGAGTTGGAAGATGGATTTTCGGTCCATAGGACTATGGGTCCAATTCTATTGGTTAAAATGAGTATAATGAGAGTTGTTTAAGGTATTAGAACACCACATTAATGATTTTGGAAGTGGTTGGTCCATGGAAGCATTTATTATTCAAAAATTAATATTTATGAGGTAGTTAGGAGAGGTTTATGTGCATTAATGATGGTTTGAGGTGTTGTTAATGACAATGTGCATTAATGGAATTTAATGAGCCCATTGGGTATGAATGGGTAGTGATTATAAGTTGATAAAAATAGAGTGTGTGAAGTTATATGTTGATAAAACTTCAAGAGTTAGACAATGATGATATTCTTATAGTATGAATGTAGTGAGGTTCATTTTAGGCACTATTTGAACTTGTTGAAGCTTTGGAAAGTTGGTATAGTAAGGGGTAAACCTTTAACCTCTCAAAGCTTCATGTAGATACCGAAACCACTTTAATCGGACGTCGGACAGAGATTTGGGACACGTTGAAAGTTTGCTCCCTGTGCTGTCAAATGACAACACTGATGCTGTCAAATTTCATGCAATACACCATAGAGCATGGTGCCTCATGCCACAGCGCATGACACAGAGAGGACAAACTGTGGCGCACATGCCGTAAGCCGCAACGCACGTGGCATATTCTACATAAAATTTGTTTTTGAGTTTTAAAATTCATTATTTTGGGTCCAATTAATTTTCAAACTTTCGTTTTACTTCAAAACTCTGATACGGACTTGTTAAATAATGTTTGAGATTTAAATTGTTGAAATTGGGATTCCTTTAAAAGAATTTTGAGAAATTCCTTTTATAAAACTTTACAATTTGGTAATCCTTGAGGGTTAAACCTTAAGTTGTTATAATTTGGAGTCAAACATGGTTTAGTAAGAGAGACTTTACAGTTTGCTCTCTAAAATCTTACATCCCGGCTCTACTCATGGCTTTTAACGGTCGTATCCCTCGACTCACCATGCTTATGCCAACATGTATAAGTATGATTAATTCTAAAACACACTATATGATCTTCCTACTTGCTCGCACTAACCTGCTTCAAGAGGCCACATTTTACACAAGGGCATATAATGCTATTATGGTCTGCCTCATGTTCTAATGCGAATCTAATGAACTCCTTCACCCCATCGACATATTCTTGTGTGACTCTATTTGCAGACATCCATTTCTTGTCCATAATCTCTCTCAATCTAATAAGAATTGTTGAGAGAAATGATATTAATGACTCAATCATATTGAAAGAGTTAGTTTAATGAATATATTGATTACTAACTCAATCAATCATGAGCCACATGCTTTCATACATACACACACATCATCCCTCTCTAAGATAATTAAATTTAAGATAATACTTACAATTATATTAAATTAATTATAAGTATTTTATCTTATGTGAAAACTTGCCAACAAGTGAATTCTTTTATTTATAAATTATAATAATTTATAACATTTATTTTTATAATTTCTTTAGGCATTTAAAAAAATTAAGAATATTTTATGTTGGTTACAATCATAAAAAATTATTTTTTACTTATAATAATAAGTAAAATATATATATATATATATATATATATGTATATGTATATTTCAGTATTAACATTAATATATAGGCCCAACTATTATAAAAATTATATATCATTAATTTATA